TGTCTGTGTCTGTCTGTGTCTGTCTGTGTCTGTCTGTGTCTGTCTGTCTGTCTGTCTGTCTGTCTAAACTAAGGACACATGCTCAGCACTCCACAAGCCTATGCTTCTACCAAGACATCGATCATTGTCCAGTGCTTTTGGAGCTGCAGGTGCCCCTTGCGGAGTGCACTCCGCAAACAGTCTCTTGCATTCTCCGCACAAAGTTGCCGCCGAACGTGCAGGCGGTGTGGGTCAGATTTCCCCAGAGTGCAGACCTCTTTATTGAATAATTAATAACTGAATAATAAATGAATATCAGCCTTTTATAGATCAGAAGTAAGACCAGTGACCAGTTCAGAATGCTGTACGACTTGAAGGATCTCGAAGTTCTGGCAATTTCGGAGAATCCCCACAGATGACAGCCACAACCTCCAATGGCACCCAACCGTGGCTCCGTCGGGCAGGTGACACATTTGTCCCTCTCACCTGCCCGAAACTGGATCATCGTGGGCTTTGCCGACGGGCCACGTGGCCTTCGGGGGTGTAGACGGTGGCGTGCAGGTGCAGGTGGTGCAGGGAGCTGGCACGTGGGTCACCCGGTTGACAACGATAAGTTGACCTCCCCTGTCTATTCAATTTTGTTCTCTTCATTTTCGGTGGTCAACCAACATCCCCAGGTTTTGACCCTACTATAGCCATATTAACTATATGGTTCAAGTTCAAGCCTTTATAATTTATAATCATTTACCAAACATGAGGAGAGACTTTTTGCGGGCTGTGTTCATGGCAAAAGCGATACTTGTATCTTGCGTCCCACATTTTGCCAACTTTGTATATAGTATATATTGGTGTTGTTGAATGTTAAGATCTATTGTTTTTTTGCCATCAAAAAGTGGCCAAAAGCGATCCCTTACCTACCCGGACATTCCATACATTCCACTCAGTAATTGCCCTCGCCGACCGCAGCCCCCCTCGACCTCGCCGTTCGGGCTCAGGCGAATCTGGCTCATCCCTCGCTTGCATGGTGGCATCTTCGCCTCGGTACACGTCTCCGATGGCCTCAGCGGGGCGGTGCGGGGCCCGAGCACGGCTCGGGCGACCTCTCCGACCCGTCTCCGCGCACGTTGTCACGCCGAGGGAGGCGTCGTCCCGGAGACCGGGCAGTGAAGCATGTCGCATCGTCGCTAAGGTGAACTCTGTGTCCATGCTGGAAGACGAGTCCATGCCGGTGCTCCAAGTGGAGTTCAGCTCCAGTTGAAGACGGTCAGAGTGGATTCACTTGGATTCCGAAAACATCCGAAAACTATATCACACGTTTTTTTGGCAAGGATGACTTGCAGAACTATTAAGTATATACACATTCAATATACTGTCAACTGCCGGCCAGTCTTGTCAAGCGCACAGGCTGTGTGCGGCGGCGGGGGACGGCTCCTTGGTGACCTTCCTGGTCTCCGATGGCCTCTTGGAGTTGGCGGAGCTGAAGAGCTCAGGGAAGGAGGAGCGGTCACCCGAGGATGAACTCGAACTGGGAGGGCGATGGAAATTCGAAAAGCTTTGGGATCGAATGCTTTGGGATTCGAAAGCTGTCACTTCGTGCGACCGACTAGGACTAGGACTTGTTCATTGCCGTGCTGATGCTGTGTGATGTTGCGGCTGCTACTGTACTGTTTCTTTTTTTCACGTTCTGCGGCGAACAAAAAGGTTGATTTGGACACTCTGACCAGTTCGAGTTGCATGCTGCATGATGTTGCATTGATTTGTTAGCCATGTGGATTGTAAAAAGTTACTGTGGTGCAGATCAACATGGCCGATGCGGCCCTGGAGCTGGAGGGAGCTATCCCTGAGATGCCTGACATGTCTATGGAAGGCACGGTGAAATTGCACAGCGAAGAGCGTCTACTGAGAGCGTCTACTCGACAGTGCTATACAGTGCTTATCTAGGAAAGCACAACAAGCAGACAGATACCAAGAGCTCCAGGATGATAGATTTAAAACGAGCTTGTGATCATCGGTCGACACGTTGTTGACACCGCCATTGAATTGGTTAGCGGGTATACGGTATAAGGGGATTGGCCCTTGCTAATCATCGGGACATCAATTCATTAGCCACAGAAGATGCCACGAAAGATTTTGTGGTGTTGGCTAACAAAGATGTGAGGTCTTCTTTTTGATGCCTACATTCACACTCCACGACCTGAATGCCCGCATTACCATTATATAGACTCCCCAAACAGATAGAAAAGCAGATCCCCACTCAACATGTATTGGACACCGTTTCTATCTATTTGGGACCACTATATCGCTTTGAGGATGTCATTTAGTCAATCCGGATCATGTTATTGGATCCGCGGTTCAAACAAGAATCGAGCTTTGAGACGAGCTGATCGTATGGCACGCCTCGTGCAGCTGCAGGGTGAGCTTGTCACATGCAAAACGTTCCACGGGAGCTTTCCTTCTTCATCCTGTTGAGAACCCGGACGGACGGACCGGGATTCCCACTCGTAATAAGTAATCAACACTCACCACACTTTCGCGGAGGTGGGCAGGGGGAAAACGAGCTCAAGATGTAGATGTGCATGAGTTTCCATGTTTATTCAAACAATATCTGTCAAGTAAAATGACAGAAACTTAGAAACCCATAAAGACCTGTCAGCCACGCACTTTCAGCAGATTCCCTGGACCATCTAAGGACCTCTTCATAGAGTCACTAGTCCTTTCATCCCCTCACTGGCTCGGCTCGGCCCTCGGCTCTTCCAGAGTGGCCCGGTCAGGCTGGAGTTTGCCGCCCAAAGAGGCGCCAGGCCGGGCGAGTGCCAGGGACTGGTTTCCCAGTGGAATTGGAGCCAAGTACCATGTGGCACTGTACCTATTTCTGAATAATTAGTAGATATACCAGTGCCAATAGGCAGTGCCAATAGGTATGTGATACCTATGTTTGAAGGCAGATATAAGATGATATAAGATGATATGATATAACGCTTTCTCAGTGCTGCCGGTCGGACCAAAGAAGTGTCACATGTCACATGTCACATTTGGTTTTCACGAGAAGGTGGAAGAGGTCGCCTGGTGCTGAAAAAAACACCTGTGGTCACAGATGACCGTGAGGTTGAGTCTACTAGCACTTGTGTTAAGTCGTTTGGTCTTGTAGAAAGTCGTCTGGATGCTGCGTTTACAATGGGGTTAGACGCAAGATGGCAATATATGGCAATATATATATATAACTGGAAGAGTGTAGGGTCAACAACATTGTTTGGATGCTGCGTCTACATGCGGTTTGGGTGCAGGCAATCTATGTTTAGGGGGCTAATCTTCACGATAGTCCTAACCTTGCGTTCTGATTGGGGTTTGGTCACCAAAACGCTGCAAACTTCGACATAAATCTAGTTCTTTCCTGCACAGGGGTAGTGAATTCTTGATGTATAGCAGTTTTGACAAATATACTTCCGTAGAGCGTTTACATTGTGTTTTAACATACAACGGGTGACTTTTCGCAAGCCGGGTGACTTTTGACTAATGCTGCGTTTACATGCGGCCGGGTGACGTTCTGCGCTAGTAGGGGATGAAAGAGGGTTTTGGCCGGGTGAAGGTTCACTGGTGAAGTGAAGCGTTTCCGGCAAAACTGGATCGCTTTGTAGAGGTTCCTGAGCACCACCAGACAAGATTTGAGAGTAGGCCTACACTGGTTCAATCGCAGAGGGTTCAAGATTCAATTGTTTAAAGGCACACCCACGCACGAACTAAGGACTTGACACACCACCTGGACTTCCACACCTGACTTCAACATCATGACGCCGGAAACAACTTCAAACCTGGGCTCTAGAATTGATCTCAAAACGTCAGGGGCTCGTCAGGGGGCTCAGGGCTCTTTTTTGTTCCTGTGGCGCCTGCAGGTGTCTTGGCCATCAATCCGGACATCGTTGATGCTGACCAGTATTCCATTCAGGAGTTCCTGCTGAGACAGCAAATGACTGCTAAGTCCTTTTGAGAGATGCCAACGCTTTGACTGCTACACTTGTGCCATCTTTGTGCAATTGAAACAAGTCCCAGGCAAAGCTCAGATCGGTGGTTCGACCACTGGTCGTTGTTTGCCATGTTCGCCTGCCGTGGCCCAACAATTCCACGTGGTTTGCCTTTGGTGGATCATCCATCCTTCAGCATCAGGTAAGATGTTGTGATGCACGGGAATGACCTATCAGTTTCCGAGTTTGGAACGAATGACAATACAAGGACATCGTAGGTCATGACTCGACTTGTGGGTCCAAGCCGGGGGTCCATCTCAAACTCGCCGGTGATCCTCTCCCCAGAATCAGGATTGGGTCCATCCTTACCGGATCACGTGTCTCCCACCGTTGGAAAGGCGCTCTTCGGATCTGTTTGGCAACGCTCTTCGTTTGGCCGACGAGGACGCCAAGCTCAAGGCCGAGGAGGACAGTGCGAAGGCAGCCGCGGAGCTGAAGAAGCTCCGCCCGGGAACCCCAGCAACCTCAGAACTCCAACCTCCAAAACACATCAACACCTCCAATGACCCTGCCTTTGCATTCGGATTTCTTCCGAAGACCAGAGGTTGAATGGTTGAACTGAAGAAGTTGGGTTCTTGAGAACCTACACCTGACCATCCTGACCTGTAAGCCTCAGACAATCACTGGCTGTAAGCCGCAAGGATCAGTGCGAGCCTTTGATCGATATTTCGAGAGCGAAAGGTGTCTGGTTTTCTAACTTGGGGGAAATCAGAGCCGTTTCGCTTCGGTCCGCTCGAGGAACTCTTTAGCCTAAAGGATCGGACGGAGGCATCTCTCACCGACTCCAGGCGTCGCTTTCCACGTGCGGCCGTGGCGAAGCCGTTTCGCATCTCCCAGGCGTCCGCGAACGCATCAACGAGATCCGGAACGAGCTGGTGGAACTCCAGGTGACCCAGCTGCACCAGACTCACCGCGGCACCGCGGCACGCGGCACTCGTTTCGTCACGCGCGCACGTAGACGTGAGATCGCAGGGAATCCGAAAGTAGAAGCATCTCAGCTCCCACCGTTTAGATCCGTTAGGAGATCCTGCCTTTCTGGAACAATTACGTGGATGGCATGGCCCCCGGAAAAGGACCATGGAAATCTGCCAGGAACAGGGGGTGTTTCCACTTCCATTCTTTCTTCCAAGGGTTCTTTTCCAGCCAAGGCACCCTTGGCACCACCCACTGAGCCAGCATGTCTGAGGCCAAGAATGGGCAGCTCTACGAGGCCCAGCTCTCGGAGGCCGACATGGTGGTGGACCAAGAGTGCCTCCGCCGAGCGAACAACGGCGCGACCGGAGCGACCGAACTCAGAGACACGGGGCGAACATGGGAGGCGTGCGAAGCGACTGGAGCTGAAGACAAGGATGAGCTGGTGGGTCATCGCCGGGTGTTTGGGGGCTTTATCATGCTTTATGCATGGTTCTCATGGTCCATCACCAGGACGCCTGCTACAGATCTTGGGAGTATAGTATGATCCTTGTTTCAAACCTTGGCTCTGAAGCTGGCAGAATCCAAAGAAGAGCTGGAAGATGGTGGAAGCGTTCCAGGTACATCAATCATTTGAAAGAAGATATGGAGAATCAGATTGAGCAGGCAGGAACTGGATCGGTTTGGGGGGTGGAACCAGCTAAATCCATCACCCGCGGGATGGATTGTGCAACTCACATTTGACCTGGCAAACAGCCAGCCACTTCTTCACCAGCTGTCCGGCCGCAGCTGTGTGGGGCCTTTCAAGCTGGTGGGAGACCCTAGTAGCGTCCTTGCTCCTAGTAGTACGGCATTAGTTTCAACATCCATCAATATCCTTTCAATCACTCACGATCCTCGATCCATATTTTCGGGCCGGGAAGCTGCGTCGAGCTGCTCACCTCTACCAGGTTCGCTTCGAGCTTGCATGGTCGGTGGAATTTCATGCGACTTGGCAAGGGAAGGTGGAGAGTCAGACGTTGTCGTAACATTTGCCTTCCATGATGGACGATTAGGCCAAAGAGCCCAAGAAGCAGATACTATTATACAGTGGTTTCAGGATATACTGTACATGGCACTGGCACCCTAAGTTTTAGATGGGGTCCATCTAAACCACCCAACTTGGGGATATGGCACCACCCGAAAACTCTCAATCCACTATACCGAAACAATTCGTCAACAGGCCAGGCCGGTTCGCAGGGGCCAGGGTGCACGTGCACGTCCATCGAATGACCGACCGCTACCGTCGCAGGAGCGTGGCCTTCAAAAGCTCAAAGACTACTACCTGAAGCACGTGGACTTCGAGCGCATCGAGGCGTGACGGGCAGTCACACATGGCACGAAGATAAGTTCGCATGAACATCCCGGGTGATTGTGGCTCTGTGAAATGGGGATGCATGAAACCTCTATGCAACCATATGAAACCCATCTATCCACCAGGGATGCTGGGACCAACTGCGACCAACTGGACCACCTGATCCTCTCGCCGCTCGCCTCCGGCTCCGCTGGGTCTGAGGTGCTGGGCTTCCAGTCGGAGCACCGGGTCTCCACCTTCCGCTGTGCCAAGATGTCCGGCGAGTTGCAGGCGAACCTCGCCAGGCGGAGAGCTTTGGGGGAGAGGAGCCAGGAGTGATGGATTTTGAGCCTCAAAACGGTGGAGATGGATCCTTAGCTGATGGGAATTCATAGGAATTTTCTGAGATTTAATCATATTTCATCGTGGTTTCATCATTGAGGGTTTCATGAATATCATTATGGATCATATATCATAATCATCATACTTGCAAATTGCCCCAGCTGGTTCCCAGGTTGCACGAGCTGATTTTCGCGGCCGGGGACGGAGATGGCGATGAGGACGGGATGCAGGATGATTCATTTGTTTGGACTTCATGATCAATTATCGTGCCTGTTCTTTTTTGCACAACTTGATACTCAAAAATACGGACGTATGCATTGATATTATACATAATTCATACAACTCTGTTATACACATCAATATACAGTATCATGTTATACACCTAGTTCTGTTATATGCCTACCTCACCAGTGGCATCCAGTGGCAAGCCCAGAAGGCTTGGACTCTTGGCCCCAGGTGAATTTCCCACTGATGCCAATGTCTTGAACCTCCAGAGGATGTTGGTACCAGCTTCGTTCTCATTCAGGATCTTCAGGAGCATCCCCCAAATCTCCCAGGCATCAGGTCATAAAGCAGGAGCCTTTTCTACAGTTCATCGAACAGGACGAGGACGAGGAGAACCAAGATGGTTTCGGCTTCGATGGGAAGTCCACTTTGCGAGGCTCGACGCTCGATGTCATCGTGATTGATACTGTATCCATTTGTATCCTCTGGTCCTCACAGGATATGGCCAGATTTAGAGCTTGACCAAAGAGGGCTTTATGAGAGGAATGATGGGACCAAAGGGACCTTTTCAGCATGAAGCTGCCCAGCCTTCATCGAAGCTGCTAGGAAACAAGATGGAGCTGGGCCTTGATACTGATGGCTTTGGCACGGGTTCCCCAGGGCGGCGGCGAAGCGGAACCGTGTCTGCAACTAACCTTCCCTTGGGGATGGCGAACTCGCCCCTGTTGGCTTGGCCGGAAGGGCCGAGGCGACCTGTTTCAAGGCAAAAGACCTGTTTCAAGGCGAAGGGCGCTTGCGTGGAACCAGCGGGAAACACCTTTTGTGGAACGAGCGTACGTAGATGGCAGTGGGACCACGAGCTACTACTGCCGAGCGAACTGTGCGAACAAGACGAGCTGTGGTAACATAGGGCATAGGAAGGAGATCCTCTGACAGCAAAGAGGGTCTAAAAAAAGCAACCACCGCCAGGCCTAGGCAACAGACAGATTTAGACATGTTCCATGTGACATTTGCATTTCCACATCTTTGGACAGGAAGGCATTGGACAGGAGGTATCAGATGCATCTGTCAGCATCAGATGCTTGGGTCCCCTTTTCGCATCATTGACGTCCTGTTTGGATGTCCTGTCTGCACTACCCGGGTCACGACTATTGGATCTGACAGGACACCCAGGCAGGATGGTCTAGGGACTTTAGGAACCAATTGATTCTTTTTGAGTTTTCTTGATTCTCGCACATTCTTGTTGAGGCTCACCCAATGCGGAGAAGACACTTTCAGGCCTGGTTTGGAGATCTGCTGTACTTGTTCAGGACGTAGGGAGCGTGGTTATGGGACCCAGCCCGAAGACTTCGCAAGAACCTTCTGGGATGGGCTATTGCGATAAGCCAGAATCCACCAAGGACCTCCTGAACGGGCTTGGAATGGGCTGAAATAATTCCAACTGCTTTGGTTGGTTATATAGGCATGATAGACCAGCCAGCTCCAAGGGAATGTTCTGTGAACAAATGCCCTTGGGCCTCAACAGACATTCGGCGCAATGGACAGGGTTTTGTTTCACTTTATTAATGCAAGTCAAGTAGCAAGTGCTATCAAGTTTGGATGAGGTCCACCTCAGTATGTGCCAAGTGTAGTTTGCATTATGCATCCAAGCGCCATCGACAGCCAGGTGCCGAACAAAGAGAATTGCGAAGACAGCAGAGGACCCTCCAACTTCTCCAACTCTGGCCGTCCCAACTGCAGATGTCCCGCGGAACTCGTCTTCAACGACGCCACCGCGCCACCGCGCAACCCCCGCCCTGACCGCGAAGGTCGCGGTCGGCTCGGTCGACCGGTCGCTCGCTCCCCGCGGCTCGGTCAATGCCGCACCGTCAGGATGGCTCGGAAGGCTCAGATGCAGGAGCTGGAGCGCGCGAAGCCTTCGGAGTCCTATGAGGTGCCAGTTTCCGGAGCGCGCATGGAACTGGAGGAAGGGCGAGTGTGTATATATATATACACAGTATTATACAGTATTGTATATAATATATGTATATATGTATATATTATATATATTATTAATGTATATTATAGTATATTATAGTTTTTAAAGGACAACTATATAGAGACTTCAGGATACTCCTGCCACTCGAAATAGAGGAAGGCATGTGTGGGGGATCGGTACTTGCCAGGCGCCTGAAGACCTTGAAGCCATTGCAAATGCAGAGGCGATCTGCCGAAATCTGCCATGAATCAACTGATGACGAACAGAACAGTCAAACTGATCAAACTGCTGCATTGGTGCACACTTGTGGTGGACTGTACTCTTGGGGCTGGAGAAGAGAGTGGGATTTTGACCCATATCCCAGGTGTTCTTGACCTTGCTTCCCAACTCAAGATACTCTAGCTGCAGCATGCCGCAGCTGAGCTTCCCTGTTCCTGAAGGCAACCTTGGGGAACTACATGCTGAAGACCAGCGAAGACTACCAGGCAGGTGCTGTTTGTGCAGTATGCTGTTCGTGGTCAAACTCCTGTGGTGTAGCCAGACAAGAAGTAAGCTTTGATCTTATGTGAGCCTTGCCCTCTGACCTTTTTCAAGTTCTTCGATTTTCAATCCTTCTGTCCAATGGGGTACGGCCAACGGCCGCTTGTGTCACTCAGACATTACGTGGTTTTGGCAACCAAAAGAATACAGAACTTAGATAAGCCTTGCTGTCCCAGAAGCATTGAAGTCTATAGAACCTGGCTTCGTTGCAGAGTCTTATTTTGCTACGCTTGCTACGCTTTTTTTGAGTCTCTGGACGGATCTTGTTGGTCCCACCGTCCCACCTGTTTTGTTTCACGAGCACTTTTGAGGTACCGGAGAACCAACGCATGAATGCGGAGAAGAAAAGACGGCAGATGTTTCTGCTTGAGGAGCTTCCGTGAGCTGTTCTTGCTTCTCTCTTGATATTGAACACGATTCAATGACAATGTTTCCTTTCCCTTCATTTCTATTATTATATTCCCGTTCTCCTTCTTCTTGTGATCCTGTAATTACAAGCTTGAATGTTTTCCGTACAATGTATATCCACATTGTATTTGACTTGAAGATCTTATGAGCGGCTGGCTCTTGGGTTTGTTCAGCTGTGAGGAGTCCATTCATGCCATCAAGACCGAGTTCAACCAGAGAGCACCTCGATGTCGATACATACACGCCGTTCACAGCTGCATGGCGTATACGGCGTATACTTGAGACCTGGGACCTCCATCCCTTGAAGAACATCAAGACAAGGTGACGATCTTGAGTTCAACATGCCATCATCTCTTTGTAGTGCCACATGATCATGCAGTCAGACGAGTCAGACTGTCAAGAGGTTTCCGCGGTTGATCTTGGGATTGGAAGCCGGCTCGTTTTGGAGTGTCCAACATCAAATGGTCGAACACGAACCATGGGTACTGGACCATTCAGGATAATGGGTTACTGATGATTACTGTATATTGTCGATCTAATTTTGGGTCAACAGTCAACACTACCCCAAACTTCTGATGTCAGAAACACATCAAAAAGCACGTCATATACATCAAACGGCGGAGTGTAAGACCGCGCCTGGTCTAATGCATGGTCCCCAGAAGTCCGCGCAAACACACCGCGCCTTGATGTGCCAAAGTCCGTCCGTTTCCAGGTCTTGGCATTGAGGGACTTCCGGCAACAGGTCCGTGCCGAGGCGCGGCGCCAAGCGGCGCGCGGACGTGCGGACTTGGCGGTGGTGAGGACGGAGCGGCGCAGCCTGAAGGAACGGAATCGGGGTTGCGAGTTGAGCATTGATGTCGTGTGGTTTCTATCATTAGTTCTACAATGAATTTACATCTAAGAATCTAAATTGGTAAATTAGAGTTTCTTTTTTCTCCCCAACAGGTCCAAGTGGTCACTATTTGACTGATTTGTTGCGTGCGTGGTAATGTTGGATGTGCTATAGTATATTGTGTGTATTCAAGTGTCAAACAAAAGGTTCATTTTTGGTCCTCTTTGGTCATCTCCTTTTTCAGTTCAGGACAGCTAGGTGCTCCGTCTAGTGGAAGCCTTCCTTTGCCAGGTGCAACGTGACCTTCAAGCTTTAGCGGAGATTGATGAGCAGCTAGGCGCGCACTCTGGGACACAGGAGACAATCCAATATGGGCAACTTGGATTGTACAAACCTGGTGCACGCAAAGCACACGCCTTTCCTTCATTGTGAACTAAGTAGACAGCAAAGCAACTATTCAAGTTCAAAGACTGCAATACCCTTCGTCATTCATTAGCCAATGTCGACTCTTGATGAATCCAACCCCGCCAGACATGGAGTGTAAAACCTCTTCAGGCCTGGGGATCTACACTCCCTGCAACTAACATGGCAATTCTCCAGGGACATGTTAGTTCCAGGGAGAGTACTATCAAGAAGCTACGACCTGCAGTGCTTGAAGATGCGAAATGCCGCGAGGCACCACGACGGCTTGGGTGGTAGGCATTCTGGAGAACCCTCCAGGCCAGGCCGTGGGTGGCCGTGAGAGAAAAGTTTCGTCGTTGTGTAATGACATTCATATACAGCTATATATCATCATCTACACTGGGAGTCAAAGACTATAAGAAGAATGGCCTTTAGGTGACCCACAAAGGAACTTCCTTTACTTCAGTCGGTCAAAATGTATCAACATGTAGTCTTTGGACTTCTAGGCTCTACCTACTGTAATTATATCAATAAAGTTATATCTACTATATCTATATTACACATTATATAATTGGTGACAATCACAACAAATGCAGACAGCAAGTATAGTACAGCTGTACAGCAGTTCTTTTTTCTTTTTGTGGGAACTCTTCGCAGGGTCCGTCAATGACAACCAACCTAGTCATATCTTAGCATCATCGACGCCGCGAGTGGCGAGTTATTCAACGTGACGTGGAGTGGTTCAACACTGTCATTGACGTAGAACGAGAATATGCCACCCCCGCGGGGGGGGACCTGCAAGTCTAAGCTCTCATGGTCAGGCCGTCTCTTCTCCGCTTTTCCGTTCAGTTTCGGTCCCGATGACCTGTGCTTCTTATCCTGTTGCTTTGATGTTGCTTTGCAAGACGAGGGGTTTTGAGGGCTGGGAGAGGCTAGATCTACGGAGACGCTGAGCCTGGATTCAGGTGCGCCTTGCGAATTCCCTGAGACTTGCTTTGAGCTGCAAACCGCCGACATCAAGGCACGATGTCCTGGACGATGCCCTGGACTTTGCCCCTTCTTCCAACGGGGTGGCTGGCTTGTTATTAATGTTTGACTTTGCAGTAATCCTGGAGGAAGGAAGTCAGACTTCGGATCTGTACTGGACATGAATCAGATTGACTGTGTATTTTTTGTTTGCGACATGTGACATTTGTATTCTTTTAGTGCCGATGCTTTGGCACTGGCCTAACAAAGCCGTGCTCCCCCAACTTCAGACTGAAGTTGCAAGTGAGCAACACCCAGATCACAGGAACACCCAGAGCAAAGGTATCTGAAGTTTCACTTTTTGAGAAACACCCAGATGGCATGAACATGTTTGGTGGCCACATGAGCAAAGGTCTCCGGAAGAGCTTTGAGACATAGAGCATACGCGGTTGTGTCATGTTTGGCTCCTTCGCGCAAGCCTTGCTCACTGGCTTGTGTAAGATCGTGTAAGCAGATTCATGCTATGTAAGCGGGACATTGATGGAACTTGTGTTATCAATCATTCAAGAGTTGTAATTAAGTCGGCGGCAGTTTTGTTGAAAGAAAAAGAGGTTCCTAACTTATCACTGCAGCACGGTTCTGGAGACCAACTTCTGCGTTGCAAATCACCTGCGTGTGGTCGCTCCAAAGAGGTCCTGCAATAAGATTAGACCTCTGCGGCGTCAACGTAGACGAGCCGGTCCGGTCCCAACCCAAAGCCTCTCAGGCCTTCGCTTCCAAACTTCGAGGTGACGCGGAGGCGCGAGTGACGAGTGGTGACGCGGAGGCACTGGTTGAGGCCTAGATGATCCTAGATGCGTAGACCGAAACGTATTGTTTTTCTTCGTAGACCAATGTCCCATCATGTACCATCATTTACCCATAGCCGTTCATGTTGCTACTTGAAGCATTCATGATACAGTCCCCGCCGGAACAGTCAGCACTTGTGGTAAGGATGTTATGATTTGATCTACACGAGCCCGCATGTTTTCGGAGTTGTCCTTGCTCTGGTTGTCCAAGTCTACTCCACTGCACAAGCTGTAAGCTTCTATGGTTGGCAGGAACCGGTGCTTGAAGAATTAGAGCAAGAAGAAGACGAAGAGGCTTGAATTGATGGTGCTTGAATTGATTGTGTTGTGTTGCTTATTGACACAAGTCCTGCTGAAAGCTCTCCGGTCTGACCGAGGAGGAAGGCTATGAAGATGGAGAGGTCAAACACGAAGCAGGTGAGACGTGCGTTTTCTGCGTTGGTTCAGGACTTCTTCGACACCAAATGGGTGAGTCAGAACAAGTGGGTGAGCGGCTCGTACTTGTACAAGTATGAATCAGTATGAACAAGCACCCTGGCCAACAACCTTTTCTGCTCATGAGCAATCATGAGCACATACAGTATCAGAATTGTCACAGGCACGCACGGTTGGACGGTCGAATCAGAGAATTGTGAGGAGCAGACAGCATACCGCCCACCATATCATATTATATACATTTACATACACGAGGAATTCAAGCGGGACAGGGACAGTCTTTTCCACATTGCCTTCCAACCCTGGATTCCCAGGCGAGGAGGAACCAGCTGAGGAAGCAGCGGAGGGAGCAGGACTGCGCCGAGGATGTCACATTTGAAGCAGGGAAAGGGTGAAATGAACCACCGCACATGCACTTTTGGATTTTAGTTTTGTGAAAAAGATTGCCATGGCACTGTGTTTGATCCAAGCGGACTCATCTATTGTCAGTCTCCTGTGATTATTGTTTTTCAGGCTTTGCAGCAACCATGAACAGCACATACGTAATGTGTTGCTTCGGCGTCTTTACAGAGCCCCTTTTTGCTCTGTCTCGTGGTCCCCCCTGGCGAGAAGGCAAGAGAAGTTCCGTTGCCAAGAAGGCCAAGGCCGGGATCTTCGACGTGCCTTGTCTAGCGGACTGGGGCTGGAGCGGCGAGTTCGGCGGTGAGTTGGGCCGAACGGGTTTCTTTCAAAACCTCCGTTTGGAACGCCTGAGAAAGGCGTTTCCTAATTGTTTCAAAGGTGTTTAGACTTTTGGAACTGCTCTTGGGCTTTGTAGCATCATGTTCTTCATGTAACCAAGATGAGGCATTCTTGCTCGGCTGACTTTGGATTTTTACGGGTTGCGGACGGTGAAGATATTGACGTGCGAGCTGATGATTCGGGTTTGACTTGAAGAAGCCTCTTCCTTTGGAGAACGTTTGTCAGAGAGGGCCAGCAATGCGAATTCCGGCCGGTAATCCTGATTTGAACTTGTGGAACAGGTTAGTTCAGCATCTTACTCAGCAAGATCAAGACTGGACGCATCTCAATTTACGTCCTCTAAACCTGAGTACCTCAAATGATTTTTGGTGCCTATACTTAGACTTTCGACAAAACTTGCTCCTCATATGAGGGAACTCCGCATGCTAAACAGTAGGAACAGGATTTGTTCAATCAGATGGTAAACCATGGAAACACCTACGTTTTGGATGTTTTTCGTTCGCAACGTGGCGTCCACACCTGCGTCGTCCACCTGGCGATGGTGCCATCGTGCAGGGCGTCGCCTCACAGCCTTCGATGCCCCTTAGTGGCAGGGCAGCGTGCTGCCCTGAGACCACAGAAGGGGATCAGAGCAAAATTCCCAAGCACGGAGGGTTCAATCTATACTGTTCGCAGTACTGTAACCGTGCAAGCACGGAGCTGGTGACCTGTAGCACGAAGCTGTAGTCATATCTTTGTTGTTTTTCTACATTGACGAGTAGACTGCGTCTAGAAGTTTCGATATGAATCGGCTGAATCTACAGGCCTTGCAGGTCCATCGTATGCGCTATGAGACCAAGCTGGGCTCCGCAAGTCTTGCTATTGGTAGCAACAACTACTAGTAACAAAGGGCATCGCTACGTTACTAGTAGCAAGGAGGCTTTTAGTTCTGGAATAATTAAGGTTAAGAAGGCCCACTTTCGAGGTGCTACACCTCTGCTCGAGTGAAGGGAGGATCAACAAGGGCCCCATTTAGGGCCTTGGGGCGCTCGTGATCGTGAAATCCATGATGCGATCGTTTTGCGACAACTGCCGCAACTTCAATTTTTTACCATGTAAAAAACACACTGCAACATACACACATATGCAACATATATTCCGAGTTTCGCACAACTTTTGTTTGTCACTTCTTGTTTGTGCGTCACCATGTCGACTCGGGAACTCGAGCTGACCAAGGGAAAAGCCCTGCTCAGAAGGGTAGAAGAAGTGTGGCCTTTAGGGGGTCCTGATTTTCACATTGGTACTTACACTCCCTGAAAGAATGGAAGTGGAAAACCAAACTGTGTATAGAGTATGGTTATCCAAGGGGCCATGCCATCTACTTCTAGTTCCAGGGAGTGTATTTCATCGTGCCCGGATAGATCATTGCTTCAGAGCCACTCTGAGGCTAGCAGCCCGTCGTGTGGGTCGCCTCACTTTGTGACCTGGCCTGCACGTGGGTTTTCTCTTTTTTTCAGGTGAATTCCCACCAATTGCGGAGGCTCAGGGGGCTTCTTCGGCTTCCATTTGATATCACTGATTTCAATGTATCAATGTTCTATAGTCCAAAGAGACACTGCACCACTGCAGTTTGGCTGAAAATCGTTGGGCATACCGGCATACCGAATCTGAGAAGTGCGGAGAATCGCCGTGTATTTCTTGCTGAGGCGGGCCAAGTTGCTCCAGGACTGGAGTGACGGGAGATCCATTTCGCATGTGTCCTACGGTGCACAGCTTTTTGAGACGTGTGGACCCAACCTTCGTATACCCGCCATGCCTTTCATACTCCCCGTGGTACCTTGATTGTTGAGCAGAGCTGAAGTTCACGAACTTCAATATTTGACCTCTCAGGAGTAACTGAGTGACAGACGGAACCAGGCTGAAGTGTCGATTCAAGCGCCATTCCAATTCTCACTTCGAGCCTTTCCAGGAGTCAGGTGAAAGTGATCTCTTGTCGCAGGCGAAGACCTTGGGTTGTCTGTTTTCGATGTTTGGACACGCCCACCATGCCACATGCTGCTTCTTGCGGATTCTCTCCCAGCACCTCATCAAAAGGGCGCGTGGGTTCTTTGGCACCGTTCTTCAGCCGCCAAAGCCAGCACCGGTGACAAGGCGGTGAACGTGGAGTCGCAGGCGCGGCTACGTCATGACAAGGGCCAGCTGGAGGAGCATGTGCGACAGGCGAGTGGGGAGAATTGAAGGAGTGCAGGTGGAGTGCAGAATCTCTTTTCAGGGTTTAGAAAGCAATCGGAGAAGTGAATAGAAAGTCAGAGTCTATTTAAACAGCAGTGCATTTTTGTCAGAGGAAGATAGGTCTTTGCTTTGCCGGGCGCTTTGCTTGGCTGCAAAGGCAGGCACTATGACAGCAGTAGCGAACCCTACCTTTGTGAGAGCAGCATTCCCGTAAGCTGATCTAAGCTGATAATATTATGTAATAACGCCATAACACCGCATAAAGCCCTGAATGAGCACTACAAGTTCCAGTGGTTCTATGCAGTTCTCCTTCACTGTTTCGAGGAGGGCCGCTTATCTACTCTGCAGGGCTTCTCTCAGGGTGCAGCTCTCTACTCTTGACATCTCTTAACCACCAACCGAACGCAAGGTCATTGACACCTTCAACATGGCGGTTGCATCCATCGAGAAGGCCCTATTGCGACCGGGCGTGCGTGTAAGCTTGCAGATTGGGCGCAGGGCCGACTGCTGCTACTGCCACTGCGACTCCTACTGCTGCCTACGGCTACTGCTACTACTTACTACACCTGGCATGCAAATTTTTGCGCCCCATTCGCCATAGCCGGAAAAGGGAATGAAAGGGGATGACATCCTGTCACTGCGAGCACTCAGCAAGTGTTGGTTCCGTGTAAAGGGTGTGTGCAGTTCTGTGTCCGAGTTTCTCCACATTTGCATCTCGATACAAGCTGCCCAGTTGCAGAAGGTTCTGGTTCTGGGGCTGCATTTTGTTCGGGCATTGGTCACAAGCTACTGGAGCAGGTCAAGTTTTTCCAGGGTCACTCGCTGCGTATCAGAACCTCATGGCTTAAAAGCAGAGAGGCAAAAAGCAAAACTCAAAAGCATGGTTCAAGTGCGATGGTGTTCAGCTAAACAATCGTCCAACTTCTGAAAACACTCATGATTTTACCCACTTTGAATTATTGAAAGGTGGTCACAAATATAAGGGCCCTGGTACAACACTCCGATTGAATACACCTTTTTCGAGAACCCAGATGCCCTAGACCTCGGAGCCCAGACCCCGAGCTGGACTGCCCATCAGAACATCATCTCCCGCCGCGGGCTGCGCGAGCGCCGCGGGCTGCGCGAGTGCCGCGAGCTGGAAGCCGCCGAAACCGGAAAGCGGTTGAGCCATGGTGAAGGGCCAGAGGTGGAAGGTGCTTGGAGGCCAAGATGGATTGATCGCCCGAGAGGGCCCCGAGGCGCGCGAGAGGGCGAATGGGCCCAATGTGCGGTGGTTCACGGTTCACGAGCGAGCACGCACTCGCTCGCGGAGGTGGTTGGTTCACCCGCAGATGTTTCAGGAAAGATATATTGGTTCTTGCTGTAGTCACGCTAGACTGAAGCTCTTGGTGCTAATGTCAAAAACATCCAGTACATTCTTGTAATTACTATATTTCAATTTGTTCTGCAAACTCTCATTGTTGCTGGTCATACAGAATCATGCACATATTTGCAACTCCATACATACATGCATGCATGATCAATATATACCAAAACCGTTTTCCTTTTGGGATCGTCCTACATTGCTCCTATAGGATGTATCGTGTTTTTGTGTTTGGAGATTCGTTTGCAAAATTATCCTGTCCAATCTGCTGGCTGTCGCACCCTGGACTTGCTCTTGTTGATTTGCTTGCAGGAGTACTCTCGAATCCTCCCAGAGGTTCTGCCCACTGGTGCTGTCGTGGAAGAACAGGAGCTCAAGGGGAACCGCCTGCATTTCATCCGGCTTTCAGGGCGAGGCCCCTACACTGGCTGGGTGGATGTGAAGGATGGCAGGACAGAGCTTCTGTTCAAGGTGGAGGCCTCAGTTGAGGGATGTTGCACTATAGTGGTAGCATGTGGATGCATGTGGTAGCACTAGATAGTGGTCAGCACTCGCGGGGAGGGAAAGGTCCGGAACATGCGACCGGAGCGAAGCGAAACCGACCCAAGTGGCAAAGCTGTGAGAAGTGGCGAAGCTGGCAGAAAAACCTACCCTTTGCAGGACCTCCTTCGTGAGACCCCCTGTGCGAGATCCCCTGCGCGAGATGGATCATGGATCCCTGCTCAAGAAAGTGGTGTTTTGCTGCCTCAATTTACTTTTAAAAGGTTGGGGAGGGGGGGCATTCAACCCGTGCGATTCGGATGCGCACCGGACCTCCTCGACCGCTGCACATATATTATAAGAGAATAAGAGAATAAGAGGTTCGAATGGAGCGAAAGCATGCGGAAGACTCAGTTGTCTCAAAGCCCAGGCTTTGGGAGGCAGTTTTGCTAGACTAGAGCTGCTGAATGTCATGTTTGAAGTGGAAACTCCTGCTGTATAACATGGGAGCGGAAACTGAAACTCTGATTTTGCAGTGAATCCCAAGGTGGAGAAGAAGACGGTTCCCAGTGTGGTGATGCCCACCGCGGTGGAAGATGATTTGGATGGCACTGCCAAGCGAAAGAAAGGCGAGGAGAAATGGCGGCCCATGCCGGCGCCAGCGCCCGAGATCCCCCTCAAATCGCCGGGGGATGGCAAGCTGCCCCGGCCTGGCCGCTTTTGGCGCGTGGTGGGAGCTCCGAAGGATGGCTTGAAAGTGTGGCAGGGCGTTTCGGAGACGTCGCCCATCTTCCCTGGCACACTGCCACAGGGAGCTGTGGTCGAAGAGGTGCAGGTGGTCGGGAACCGGCTGAGTTTCACCGATTTCTCCATGAGGGGCCCTCCAAGCGGCTGGGTGAACATCCGCGAGAACGGCCGGGACATGCTGGTCATCGACACAGAAGGCTCTCAAGATTTGCTTCCCAGTGCTTTTGTTTTGATTCTTGTCAGCCCACACACGCTCATAATACAAGTAGTTCCCGGGCAAGCCGGCGGCGGAAGTTTCCAAAAGAATAAACCTATAGGAAATGGGCATGTGGCAGGCTGATTCGCCGAGTTGCGATGTTCTTTGACAAAACAAGTTGGAACCGACCAATGGAGCGAAAGCGAAGCAACCACCGTCAACTGTCTCGCAGGAAAAGACGTTGTTCATGCATTTTGCAAAATAGCAATAGAGATGACTCAGCCGCGTACTAAAGTTGTACTACAAAGTCGCCAGTTCTCATCTTCCAGTTCCCCAGCTACTCCGCGTACTAAAGTTGTACTACAAAGTCGCCAGTTCTCATCTTCCAGCTCCCCAGATACTCCGCGTACTAAAGTTGTGGTACAAAGTCGCCAGTGCACAGCTTCCAGAGATTGCCCCGCGTACTAAAGTTGTACTAGAAAGTCGCCAGTTCTCATCTTCCAGCTCCCCAGATACTCCGCGTACTAAAGTTGTACTACAAAGTCGCCAGTTGTCATCTTCCAGCTCCACAGATTGCTCCGCGTACTAAAGTTGTACTGGAAAGTCGCCAGTTCTCATCTTCCAGCTCCCCAGATACTCCACATACTAAAGTTGTACTAGAAAGTCGCCAGTTTTCAGCCTGCAGCTCCCCAGCCTACTCCGCGTACTAAAGTTGTACTACCAAGTCACCAGTTCTCAGCTTCCAGCTCCACAGATTCCTCCGCGTACTAAAGTTGTACTAGAAAGTCGCCAGTTCTCATCTTCCAGCTCCCCAGATACTCTGCGCACTAAAGTTGCACTACAAAGTCGCCAGTTCTCAGCTTCCAGCTCCACAGAGTGCTCCGCGTACTTAAGTTGTACTAGAAAGTCGCCAGTTCTCATCTTCCAGCTCCGCTGATGCTCCGCGTACTAAAGTTGTGCAATCTGCACCTCGAGGTTCACACAGTGCTGTGCCTGCCACGAAATCTGCACATGGAGGTTCACAAAGTGCTGTGCCTGCCACGAAATCTGTGCATGGAGGTTCACACAGTGCTGTGCCTGCCACGAAATCTGCGCATGGAGGTTCACAAAGTGCTGTGCCTGCCACGAAATCTGCGCATGGAGGTTCACGAAATGCTGCGCCTGCCACGAAATCTGCGCATGGAGGTTCACAAAGTGCTGCACCTGCCATGAAATCTGCGCATGGAGGTTCACAAAGTGCTGTGCCTGCCACGAAATCTGCACATGGAGGTTCACAAAGTGCTGTGCCTGCCACGAAATCTGCACATGGAGGTTCACAAAGTGCTGTGCCTGCCACGAAATCTGCACGTGGAGGTTCACAAAGTGCTGTGCGTGCCACGAAATCTGCACGTGGAGGTTCACAAAGTGCTGTTCCTGCCATGTAATCTGCGCATGGAGGTTCACAAATGCTGCGCCTGCCACGACATCTGCGCGTCAAGAAACAAGTGAAAACTCTAACCACACTGGAGGGACGATTCCGAGAATGATCCGACCATGACCCGAGACCGTCTCGCAACCGTCGTTCCGCGGAGCTTCCCCGTCGAGGTTCGGAGCAGCATGGAGGTTCACAAAGTGCTGTGCCTGCCATGAAATCTGCGCATGGAGGTTCACAAAGTACTGCGCCTGCCACGAAATCTGCACATGGAGGTTCACAAAGTGCTGTGCCTGCCACGTAAACTGGAGCTAGAGCTGTTGAAACTGGAGCTAACTGGAGCTAGAGCTATTGAAACTAGAGCTAACTGGAGCTAGAGCTCTTGAAACTAGAGCTAACTGGAGCTAGAGCTATTGAAACTAGAGCTACCTGGAGCTAGAGCTCGTGAAACTAGAGCTAACTGGAGCTAGAGCTCTTGAAACTAGAGCTAACTGGATGATGAGTGGTGTATGATGAGTGGTGTCTGATGAGTGGTGTCTGATGAGTGGTGTATGATGAGTGGTGTATGATAAGTGGTGTATGATGAGTGGTGTCTGATGAGTGGTGTATGATGAGTGGTGTATGATGAGTGGTGTATGATG